CTCCCTATCTCGCTCTCTCGCTCTCTCGCTCTCTCTCTGTCATTGGTGCCCCGCTCCTCCCGGCTCCTCCCTCATGACCCTTACTCTCTCCATCTATCGATCGATTTATGTGACCCGAATCCACAATAAGGTGCTGCCGAACTCTGCACTTATCTGCACCGCAATCCAGGAACATCCTCTCTGTTTTACTTTTTTTATTATTTACAATTTGTGCAGGTGGTCGTGTGTACAATGCTCAGCCGAAGCGCCGTGGTGGAGCTCCGAACGCCGGCGCCCTGGGCGCGGCACCGCCCGCGGCTCCACCGTAGTCGGCCGGGTTGAGGCCCTGCTGCTGCAGCGACCTGACGATGGCCTCCGGGAGGGGTGGCGGCGTAGGCAGGTGGGCGCCCTGTGGAACATCAGGAACCGAATTAGTTTACGACATCAGAGGGAACGATCCAAAAACACGATTGCTTTGTCTGTAAACCGTTCTTGCGGCATTTTTTGAAGAAAGACTAAAAAACACGTTTATTATTTATTCCACTACAAATTATATCGTTGTGAACGACATGAGCACATAGTGGTAACGCTGCACCCAACTAGGTATCGCAGTGGATGTGGTTGTGACAGCTCGATATGTGATGACCCGAGACAGGATCTCAAAAAGCGGGGGACCGGGTGCCTTGTCTCATGTCCACGGCAAAGCCGCTGCACAGTGGTGCCTCAGCTGGTGGTCTACTGCCCCCCCCCCCCGCTGTGGGGTGGCTTGAGGGCTCGGTGTGGCGGCGGGACTCGGCGTGGCACAAATGGACCCGAGCGCCTGCAGCTCGATGGGTGGGCAGCCCCGCCGAGCGCGCGTGTGCAACGGGGCGGCCTACCCCGCCCGGCGCCCCGCCCGCCCCTCACCCTGGGCTCTCGGTACTGACCTGGGGCAGGAAGCCGTTCTCGTCGGCGGTGTACTGCACGGAGTAGGTCTGGCCGTCGTCGGCCACGAAGGAGAACTGGCCCTGCACGGCCTGGCCCTCCTCGCCGGGGGGTCCGTTGCCCGGCCGGCCCTGGGCGCTTGCCGAGATCCTGTTCTCCGTCTCGTAGGTGTAGGAGAAGGTGCCGTCCGGGCTGATGTCGCTGTCCAGCCTGACGATGGCGATGGGCTTCTGGGCGCCGAGCTGCGGGGCAGCGCTGCACGCAGCCAGCACCGCTGCGCCGAGCAGACACACCTGTGTGCATGTATACCACTCCCATGAGTCTCTCTCTCTCTCTCTCTCTCTCTCTCTCTCTCTCTCTCTCTCTCTCTCTC